AGTTTAGGTACCAAGGAAGAAAATTTTAAATTCAATCTGTTAAGGAAATATCAAACATATCCACTTTCTTATTTAGAGATCATAAATGATAAAGATTTAATGATATCTCTCTTATATCTAAAGTTTTTTCTTAGTGCAACTTTTGTCTTATACAAGGATTCATTTGATGAAAACTTGTGTCTTATTGAGAAGTTGTATCTTAGTAGAAGATTTGTCTTAGTCATTTCGAAAAAAATTTCTATTGATCAAAAACCTATTTTTTGTTAATAGCAAACTTTAAACTAGAGGAATATTTGATTGTCTTTTCACCTAACACTTACTAACTTTGACATCGATCTAAGTCTCGTTTATAGATATCACCATTTCTCGCAACATAAAGGTTGAAGACCGTTGAGGACTTCGGATTGACAACCTCATACTCATACTTTTTGGCAAGTACAATCTAAATTTGTATCTATATTATATATAATTATATAACGGAGATACCTTCCTTTTGTCCTTTCCATTTTTTTAGACATATGTACCTATTTCTTATATTTTAATCTTTTCTCAATAACATATCTCTTAAAGGTAAATCAATACCATATATGAAGAGGATAACTCCCTTTATTCTCCACTATTTTTTAGACATTTATACCATTTATTATATTTTAATATTTTCCCAACCATGTATCTCTTAAGGGTAAAATAGAAGAAAAAAAAACATAAACATGAATACAAAAAATTAATCGTTCACTCTATCAAAAATAATATATCCACTTATTTTGTAATCATCTTTGGTCTTTATTTATTATTTTGTAACCATGTTTGATCTTTACATATTAGTTTTCACTCCCTTAACTTATTTATCCATATCTATATTCGATTATAATATTTTTATTTTGAACCATATTTTGGCATTCTAACTACATAATATCTTTTAATATCCACATTGGTGAGATACTATCCGCTTTAGGCCCAAGCCCACACATTTTTGCTTTTGGACATCACCCAAAATGTCTCTCAACCAATAGAGATAATTGTGTATATAAACCCATTTTCATCCTCTTGTTTGAACGATGTGGGACTTTGCGTGCATCCCAACACAATTTAAACCACAATAATTATTTTTTAAATTTTTTGTGCAAATATTACTCTTTAATATTACATCAAATGTTATTAATTTTTTTAATTTTGTTTTTTTAAAAAATAAGAATGATGCATAAATCATATTAAATATTAAAATTATTTGAATATCATTCTATAAACATTTTATCATCAATTTTTATTGATTTTTTTGTTTCCATCCCATCATATCATATTTATCATCATTTGAATAGAACGTAGGATGTCCATTTTTTTTTTCTTTTTTTGGTTTTGAAAAACCTACGTTATTTGTTATAATTTTGACAAATCTAGGTTTGTAGACTTATATTGTATTTTTATCATTATCTGTAAAACGTATAAATACCAGAACTATATTGTTATTTTTATTGCCGTGAACAATCCATATGCTAAAATATTTTGAAACATGGTACTAGAAGACCGTTAAATATTTTGTGCGTAATTTTATATTAATTGAAATTTGAAAGTTCTTTCTTTCTCATGACCATTACTTTTGTTAAAATTAAAAACACAAACTTAGATAAAGCATAAAAAATAAAAAAAATCAATCGTAAAATTTAATTTATGAGGGAAAGTTGGGATTGAATAGATAACAAGTATTTGAATTGCTCAAATTGAACATATCATCCGTAGTAGCTCACCTGGTTAAATTCGATTGTTGAATTCCCGGGTTCGACTCCCGGCTACGGTATAATTTCAAAAGAATTAATTATTTTCCTACTTTTAATTAAAAGTAAAAGTAAAATGATTTTATAATTAAAATACACATTTCAACCAAGCCCTTGTTATTTTCAAAGGTTCAAATTTAATTAACCTGAATGATAGGCACGTAATATACTTAAAATTTAATCTCTAATAGGTCATTTAATAACTTATGTTACAAAATCACTATTATCTTACTATATAATTTCTCTATTTTTTTATTTTAGATTTCTTTTATTATTTTAATTGTATCTATATCTATATTATTTATAATTTATATATATATATATATATATATATATATATATATATATATATATATACTCCTCCACCTCTCTCTCTCTCTACATATATATATATATATATATATATATATATCTAAATCAACAATAATAAATAAAGGGAATACCATATTTACTCTTGTAACATTGTGTGATTTTTAAGCATTATTGAATTAATTATATAATATATGTTGATTAATTGTTGAATTTTCGTAATTATTGTTGTTTAATTTAGAGCTATAAGGATCAAGGTGTTGGGAATATGTCTTAATATCTTTAAGAAAATAATTTAGTTTTATAACCTGTTTGAACTCATGTTTACAACTGCAATAGCACCTCGAACAAGATCAAAAATTTCACAAGAACCTTTGCTAATAAAAGTTTCATAACCTTTTTCTTGTAATTGACCGACACTTAACAAGTTACTTCTCAAGTCAGGGACATAAAACACATTAGAAATTGTTTTTGCAAAACCGTTCTTGGATTTTATTTTTATATCACCTTTTCCCATCACTTTCACAGTAGACCAATCACCAAAGCTAATGGTAGAATGAATTTTTTATATTTAAATATGAGAAAGAGGACTTACTTCTACTCATGTGATCACTACAACCAGTATCTACATACCAAATTTCTGCCTCGTTGTCTTTTGCATCTTAAACTGCCATCAACAAGGTTTCTACTTCTTTCTCCTCAATAAAATTTGAACTTCCCCCTATTTCTTTAAGATTAGGTAGTCTAGTATAACATTCAGAAGCATGGTGACCAAATTTATGACATCTAAAGTATTCTACCTTTGATTTATTATGATCTCTCCCTCTATCATTGCCTTGAAATTGTTCACTATTGCCTTTAGAGTTCTTGCTAAAATATCTATTTCCACGACCTCCACGCCCTCTTCCTCAACCTCTACCTCTACCCCTTCCTCTAGAGTTGTTTGAAGGAGTATTGGCAGAAGCCTTCAATGCTTGTTCCTCCATTGTTGAACTTCTATTCATCTTTTGTTCATGGACCAACAAAGAACTTTGAAGCTCATCTAGGGAGAGATCATCAATATCATTTGACTCTTCAATTGAGCACACCGCATAATCAAACTTTGGTGTTAATGAGTGTAGGATTTTTTCAACAATGGATATATCATTCATTTTCACCATGAAATCGCATATTGTTAGCAATACCCATGGTCCTTGAACAATAGCTAGTTACAGACTCACCTTCCTTCATTTGAAGGACTTCAAAGTCTCTTCTCAAAGCTTGAAGTTGAGCACGTTTAACTTTTGAGGAGCCTTGATATTTTTTTTCATTGAATCCCGAATATCCTTGGAAGTATCTTTATAAAGAACAGTTTCAAATATAAATCGATCAATGGCTTGAAACAAATAATTCTTGGCTTTTAAGTCTTTCAATTTCATCACATCAAGCTCCTTTTGTTGGGCATATGTAAGAGCTGCACTATCTCTTGGTGTTGCCACACCATTTGCAACAACTTGCCAAAACTCCTTGAATCTCAAGAGATTCTCCATCAGCATGCTCCATGGTCGTAGTGACCATCAAAACATGAATGGCTGGCTGCACAAAATTTTCAAAAGTCATTGGTGAAATAATTGTTCTCTTCTCTCCTTTTTTTATTTTATTTATATTTTTTTTAACTATTGGATTACTGCCTTTCTCTTAACCTATCTCTTGATACCACTGATAAAAACTGAGAAAAAAAGATATGAAAAGGTAGTTCTTTTCTTTAGAATAGTGAGAGCCCTTTTAAAAGTAACAATTACATAACCATATTAAGTTCATCATAAAAAAAAAAAACTCAAAAGTTATAACTTTCATTGCAGTAAAGCAATACACTTATTAACAAATAAAATAGAGTTACAAAACATACGATATCAACAAAGGTATTAATCAGGAAAAAAGAAAGGAAAAGAACAGATACATGGGTGTGAAAAAAGTGAGTTGTTGTGTACGTTGTGTTGCTCAAGTCAAGTCAAGTGGTTAACTGTGAACTACTATACTTTGGTTCACTCAATATTTAACCTCTCATGTCATCAATAGGATCTGTGCAGGTATATTTCTTTAACATAATTTATATTGTCAAATTAATAGTTTGCCTATAAATATTCTAATGATATTATTAATACTAATAATTATATCTACAAGGATTAAAACAAGATAGAGCCAAATTGGAAAGAAATAAAAAATATATTTAAGCTTAATAAAAATAATTAATAATAGAGTTTTCTGATAAAGTAATTAAAAAATAAAAATATGTTACTTTATAGTGACTATAATAAAAATTTGGTTTTGTATATATTTTTTTTCTTAAAGATGTTTTTTATGCAATTAATATTAATTAGTATAATAATGTGTCAATATTTAATAATCTTATATGTACACATTATTTCTTTTTATTTATAATTTTGACAATATCTTATCAGTATTTTTAATTTTATGCCATGCTAATATCATTGTATTATCGTTTCTGGTTTTTTGCATATTTGTTATGTTATTTTACTGTTATTTCTTATTTTTCATATTTTGATTGATTTTATTGTTATCATTTCTGGTCATATTTCTTATTTTTCAGTTATAGTATTGTTTGAAAATCAGCATAATATGCATAATATGATCAAGTTACGTGAAACAAGAAGAAAATTCTACTAACATGATTTAACAAATTTGAAGGTAGACTAATTGAAAAAGACATGACAGTGACACAAATTTAGACTTGGAAAATATCCCAATCAGAGCTACCCTCAGCAGAATCATAGCCACTCATTCATTCATGGAATACAATTGTTAATGTCAGCACTTAGCAGTTATTGGTTGACTGGTTATCAAAGAAAAAGACGTTCACCAATTTTGAATCGTAAAGTCATCATTTATAAAATAGCTTATTATTACTCATTTCATCATTCATATTAACCCTGCAATACACTGCACTTCAAATTACTAATTTTCATACTTACCATGGCAGCAGAATTGGTTGGTGGTGCTCTTCTTTCTGCTTTCCTCCAGGTTGTATTTGACAGGCTTGCTTCTCATCAATTTCTGGACTTCTTTCGTGGAAGAAAACTCGATGAGAATCTGCTGAGCCAGTTGAAAATCAAGTTGTTGTCCATCGATGCTTTGGCTGATGATGCAGAACAAAAGCAGTTCAGAGATCCACGTGTGCAAGCATGGCTTGTTGCTGTCAAAGATGTTGTGCTTGATGCAGAGGATCTTATGGATGAAATAGACTATGAACTCTCCAAATGCAATCTGGAAGCTGAGTCTGAATCTCAAACCTGTACTTGCAAGGTACCCAGTTTCTTCAAATCTTCTTCTGTTAGTTCCTTTAACAAGGAAATTAAATCCAGGATGGAACAAATCCTTGACAACCTAGAATTTCTCTCTAGCCAAAGGGGTGATCTTGGTTTGAAAGAAGCTAGTAGTGTTGGTGTTAGATCAGGTAGGAAATTGCAATCAACGTCTTTGCTAAGTGAAAGAAAGTGTTATATTTGGTAGAGATGATGACAGAGAAATGATCAGTAATTGGCTGATATTTGACGATGAGAATGGTAACCAGCTATCAATAATTTCTATTGTGGGAATGGGTGGATTGGGTAAGACCACGCTTGCCCAACATTTATATAATGACAAAAGGATGGAGGATCAATTTGGTATCCGAGCTTGGGTATGTGTTTCAGATGAATTTGATGTTTTCAATGTAACAAAAACAATTCTCGAGGCAATTACTAAATCAACTGATGATAGTAGAAACTTAGAAATGGTTCAGGGAAGATTGAAAGATAAATTGTCAGGAAAAAAGTTTCTTCTTGTTTTGGATGATGTTTGGAATGAAAATCGTGACAACTGGGAAGCTGTACAAACTCCTCTTAATTATGGGGCTCAGGGAAGTAGAATTCTTGTCACGACACGCAGTAAGAAAGTTACTTCTACCATGCGGTCAAACAAAGTACATTACCTAAGCCAGTTACAAGAAGATCATTGTTGGCAAGTTTTTGCTAAACATGCATTCCAAGATCATAATTCTTTGTTAAATACCGAGTTGAAGGAGATTGGTATAAAGATAGTTGAAAAGTGTAAAGGTTTGCCTCTAGCTTTAAAAACAATTGGAAGTCTTTTGTGCACAAAGTCATCTATTTCAGAATGGAAAAGTGTATTAACAAGCAAGATATGGGACTTACCAAAAGAAGATAGTGAAATTATTCCTGCTTTGTTATTGAGCTATCACCACCTTCCTTCTCATCTCAAGAGATGCTTTGCTTATTGTTCTTTATTCCCCAAAGATTATGCATTTGACAAGGAGAGTTTAATTCTGTTGTGGATGGCTGAAAATTTTCTACAATGCCGTCAACAAAGTAAGAGTCCAGAAGATGTTGGTAAAGAGTATTTTGATGATCTATTATCGAGGTCCTTTTTTCAACAGGCAAGTAGATTCAAAACGTGTTTTGTCATGCATGACCTTCTCAACGATTTGGCAAAATATGTTTGTGGGGACATTTATTTCAGGTTAGGTGTAGACAAAACAAAAAGTATACCTAAAACAACTCGTCATTTTTCAGTCGCAATCAATCAGGTTCAATATTTTGATGGGTTTGGGACATTATATGATACTAAAAAGTTACATACATTTATGCCAACAAGTGGGGGAATGAACTTTCTTCATGGTTGGCATTGCAAAATGTCAATACACGAGTTGTTCTCCAAGTTTAAGTTCTTACGAGTCTTATCTTTGTCTTATTGTTCTGGCCTTACAGAAGTGCCTGATTCTGTAAATGGTCTTAAACATCTCCGTTCATTAGACCTTTCTGGTACTCGCATAAAAAAGCTACCCAATTCGATATGTTTTCTCTATAATTTGCAAATACTGAAGCTGGGCTTTTGTCGCTACTTGGAGGAGCTTCCTTGTAATGTGCATAAACTCATCAATTTGCGCCACTTGGAATTTATAGGCACTAGAATAAGAAAGATACCAATGCATTTGGGAAAACTGATGAATCTTCATGTATGGATGAGTTGGTTTGATGCTGGGAAAAGTATTGAGTTTAGTATTCAGTTGCTAGGAGAACTCAATCTTCATGGAAGTTTATCAATTAGTGAGCTACAAAATATTGTGAATCCCTCTCATGCATTAGCGGCAAATATGAAAAATAAATCAAACCTTGTGGAGCTAGAATTAGAATGGAATTGGAATTGGGTTCCTAATGATTCAAGGAAGGAAAAAGAAGTACTTGAGAATCTACAACCTTCCAAATACTTGGAGAAGTTGTCAATCAGGAACTATGGGGGTACACAATTTCCAAGTTGGCTATTTGATACTTCATTGAATGTGGTGTCCTTAAAGTTGGATAGCTGTAAATATTGCTCACATTTGCCTCCCCTTGGACTTTTGCCATTTCTCAAACACCTGACTATTGCAGGGCTTGATGGGATAGTGGGTATTAATGCTGATTTTTATGGGAATAGTTCTTCTTCATTTACATCCTTGGAAACATTGCACCTCTCTGATATGGAGGAATGGGAAGAATGGGAATGTAAATATGTGGCAGGTGCTTTTCCACGTCTTCAACATCTTTTCATAGAGCAATGCCCCAAGTTGAAAGGGCACCTACCAAATCAACTTCTCCATTTAAAGAATCTAGTTATATGTGACTGTAAAAGACTTGTGTCTTTTGCTCCCAAGGCTCCAGATATTCGTGAACTAGAACTTCGAGACTGTGGAAACCTGCAATTTGATTATCAACCGACAACTTTGAAATGGCTCACCATTACAGGACACAACATGGAAGCATCGTCGCTCGAAAAGATTGGAGACATCATATCTAATACTTCTCTTGAATTCTTGCGCATTTATTATTGTCCAAATATGAATATTCTCATGAGTCATTGTTATGATTTCCTTGTAACATTGAAGATTAGTGGTGGTTGTGACTCTCTAACAACCTTTTCCCTAGATTTCTTCCCAAAACTTTGTTCACTTGATCTAAGGTGTTGTAATCTACAAATAATCTCACAGGGACGTGCTCATAATCACCTCAAGGATCTAAAAATTAGTGGGTGCCCACAATTTGAATCATTTCCTACTCAAGGATTATCTGCACCTTGGCTAGAGATATTTAGCATTGAAGGATTGGAGAATTTGAAATCATTGCCTGAACACATGCATGTCCTCCTTCCAAATCTTACTAGCCTCTCGATCCTAGATTGTCCACAAGTGGAGTCGTTTTCTGATGAAGGTTTGCCACCAAATCTAAGAAAGATGGATCTCTCAAATTGCTCCAAACTTATTGCTTCATTAGAAGGGGCTTTGGGTGCCAACACCTCTTTAGAAACGTTGTCTATTCGAAAAGTGGACGTGGAGTCTTTTCCTGAAGAAGGTTTATTGCCATCCTCTCTTACTTCTCTATGGATCTATAACTGTCCAAATCTTAAAACTTTGGACTACAAGGGTCTCTGCCACCTTTCTCTTGAGATATTATTTCTTTATTACTGTGGAAGCCTCCAATGCTTACCGGAGGAGGGTCTTCCCAGATCCATTTCAACTCTTGAAATTTTTGGTTGTCCATTGCTCAAACAACGTTGCCAGAAACCACAAGGTGAAGATTGGGGAAAGATCAGTCACATTAAAAACATACGAGTTTGGTGAACCTCAAGCAAATTAAAAGTCAAAATTACACATGCATCAATTCTTAAATGTCTCCCATTTCATAAGGTGCGAATTCTCCAAATATTTTTTGTAGCTTTTGAAATATAAGCTTGTCTATTGGAAATATTTCACTCTCTAGTTAGCTTTTACCAAAAAACAACTATTACATATGAATTGACTAATATTTGTTAAAAGAGGATGAATCATCTACTCTCTTCACTTGATACAGAATCTTTTTAGTATTCTATTTATTGAAGTTTAATTCCAAACAAATGCACTGCATATATTTAGGACACTAGGACCGGGAAAATGGTGAAGGGAATGAAGTGCAAAAGTTCTACAATCCTTTTCGTAAAGATTACCCTGTCAAAAAAAGGGTGGTAATGGTGGTTCCATCTTCTTTGAGCTTGATGTTAAATTTGTATAGTCGATGGCACTCTTCAATCTATAGGACTTACAATGATGACAATAAGGTTCAAATTTAAAACTCTGTGCATATTTAAATTTTCACTACTAGGTCGACTATAATGATTTTTTTGTTGGTGATAGATTCAACATTGGTATGAGTTTTGTTCATATTCTTAAAGGTAAATGAAGCACTACATTATCTTTTATTTTTTTATGTAAAGGTTCTTAAAGTCTTTTTAAGATCCTATTTGGATACAAGTTATAAACGTTTTTGAGAGTTTCTCTATCGATAATAAAAAATATTTTTTTAATAAAAAGTTTCTCAAAAACGTTATTAGAAATTCTCATGTAGAATTTTATATAGATTTTGCATCAAAATTTGAGGAAATAAGTTTCGCGCAAATTTTACTATAGATGTTTTTCCACAAGTAATTCCTTCATAGATAATTAGTTTTTGCATATTTTAATTTTGTAGGAAATTTCTTGTGAAACTTTTTGTGGATTTTTCCAAAGAAAAGTTTGTTGCAAGTTTTTTTTAAGGAAAGTTTTGTGCGAATTTAAAATTTGTAAGAAGTTTTGAAAGTAAATTTCATGTAAATTTGAAATTCGCAAGAAATTCGTTATTTTGTTGTAATTTCATAGTTCCTAGATAAATTTCTTGTGAATTTTAAAATTTGCAAATAAATTTCCTACAAATTTGAAATCAATAGAAAATTTTACATGTAATTTTCCTGCAGTTATATATATATATATATATATATATATATATATAAAATATATTGATTATATTGGTATAGAGAAATAGTAATATGAAAGATAGGATAATTATGATGAGAGATATGAATATGACCATGCTCAAGTAAAATTATCATTTTGAAAGACTTACAAAGATTTCAGAAAGATAGCAGATATCGCAAGAGTTTTGAGATCTAAGAACAAGGATATTATTTGATTACTAAAAACACTCGATGATTACAACTGAGGAGAACTTCTCCTTATATAGACTAACTAGGACTGGGTAAATTACAAGTAGGGGTAGTGACTCACCTAATAATACAAGGGTAAGAAAGGAAAGAGAAAAAAGTACAATAATTTACATAAAGCATCTTAAAAAGTTTCTTGTCTTCTTATGGAGCTGGTAACATGTCTTTTTCTTGATGAGTTGTTGATGTAACATGTTGAGTGGGCAACGTATTTTTCTTGATGAGTTGTTGATGTAACATGTCTTTTTCTTGATGAGTTGCTGATGAGCTGTCTTGTGTCGTTTTGTGATGCTGCCGAATAACTTTATCTTGATGTCTTTGACAGGTGTCTCTTTTTGTACTGAAATAATTGAATCTTGAGATTTTAGTCAAACATATCTTCATTGCGAAGATAAGGACTAGTTGATATTGAATCTGAAGAGCCTGTTTCTTCAGGCTGAGAATCATCTTGAAGTGCTCTAATTAACTGGAGTCTTGCTTCGAACTCTTCTTGAGAGGTGGCTGAAGCTAGTTCGGCCATAATTTTGCTTTTCTCAGCCAGAAACTGAGTGTCTCTAGAAATTCTTTTCTTGCTTTCTTGAGTTAAAAAGGCTGGAGAGTTGTTTTGAGCCCATTCTTTGATTCTTGATTTACTGATGAGATTCATATCAAACTTGTTCCACCATTTAATTTTAATACATCTTGAAAGAATTTTTAAAGGAACATTGTCATAGGGTTGCCTGAAGATATAATCCCAAGTAACAATCCAAGTAACATTTTGGGATGCAACAAAGGTAATCATCTTGTAATTGGGTAAAAATGTTGTAACTTCTTTAAAATAGTCAAAGTTTTCCGAAACCTCTTGTGGAAACAATTCTCTAATGGGTCCCCAAGTGTAAAACCATTGAAGAAACCATTTTGGAAATTATTTAGAAATTTTAATGAGATTCCTCTGCGAAACCAGAAGAACCAGGAATGGGTTTTGGGTTTAAGATATAACATGTAAGTCCATGCCATGGTATAATCATAATAGGTATAAGTCTGAGGTTGAAACTGTCTTGAAAAGGATTTAGGTTGATAAATGGGTTGTCCCCATTCTTCATGTGTCATAATTTTGAGTATCTTGGCTTTGGAATAGATAATATTATTGTCTTTATCTTCGGAATGGAATAACTCTATTGAATTAGAATCAACTAAAATAAATTCATAGAAGATTCTAGGGTTTAAGAAGTTATGATAATGGGTGTCTTTTGGGAAAATGGTATTGATTAATTGTTCTCGAGAAAGGTTTTTCCACTCTGGTTCTATTGGCATAATATCTATATGAGTATCTTTGGTGATATAATTTAATTCATAAGATCTTGAGTCTGATGGAGTGGTTATTGGGTTAGTGTTGTGGGTAATATTTTTGGATGGAGATTAAGAAATCTGTTTTGAAGGAGAAGGTATTGAACTTGGTTCAGGGGCATGTCCTAAGGCTGCTATTGGGTCGAACTTATTGTGGAATAGTAATGGAGATTGAGAACTAATAGCCTCTAAAAATGTTGAAGATTTAGAAGGTAACTTTGTATTGAAGGATTGTGGTAATTTTCTTGTTGAGCTCGGCGATGCCGATAATTGTCTTGATGCTTCGGGCTGAGCCGTTTTAACAGTATTGCTGATTGGAGCCTTAAAAGGCGTCCCATATTGGTCTTTAGTGCTTTTGCTCATTTTTCCTGTAAAAACTCTCTTGTTAAGTAATCAGGTAAAGTGTTGGACTCTCCTTTGATATGCTCAATCTCAGAGTCAAAACATGATAATAAGGCTTGCCATCTAGCAAAAATATGTTTTGAAACTAAATTTTTAACATCTTTTTGTAAAACTGACGGTGCTGCTTTACAATCTGTTCTAATCAAAAATCTTTTTGAAAATAAATCATCTTGAAATTTTTGGAGACTATTGATAAAATTTCTTTTTTGACTGTTGAATACTTTTGCTGAGCTGGATGCGAAATACCCGAGTGATATCTGACAACTAGTTCTTTTGATAATACTTTTTGCTTTAAAATTCCCCCATATCCTAAGTCTGAGGCATCTGTCTCGACAATAAGATAGGCATCTGGGTCAAGAATCCCTAAACAGGGTAATCTTTTGACTATTTGTTTAATTTTAATAATAATTTGGGTCATTTCTGGGCCGCATGGTTTTGGATTCTTTCTAAGTCTTGTATATAATGGGGCACAAATAACTCGAATATTGGGAATAAAGTCTGCAATATTTGAGTCTTATCTTTTATTTCATTTGGAAACTTATCGGCAAATTCTATTGATCTTTGAATTGGAGTAATAGTTCCTTGATAAATTTTATAACCTAAAAATCTTATTTTTGTAGAAAATATTTTAATATTCTTGGCAGAAACTACGAACCCGTTTTCTTTTACTAAATTAATAAAAGTTTTTAAATGTTGTTGTTTATAACTCTAAAATGAACATCAAATTGAGTAGTATAAATAGTTTGGTTTAATTAAGGTAATAAAAGACATTTGTTAGGCACATTGACTTTAATTACCAACCACTTACTTACCATAGGGTAAATCCATTCTAAGTTCTTTGTTTTGAACACTCTTTTTACCTTCTTTTTCAAAAACTTATTCTTATTAAGTTTAGGTTTTCTTGAAATCCTTATTTTAATGGCCAAGTGAAATTTGCAATTTCTAAAAGTTCATTTTACATATCAAGCTAAGTAGTCAAGACTTATGTACTTATTTCTTGAGATTTTGCTTCTTGATCAACTTACTTTAACTTAACCTTTTATTTTCTTCAATACTTTGGCATCATCAAAAACTTATGCATATGTTCTTTCACATTCTCCCCCTTTTTGATGATGACAATTCACTGTAAAGGGAAAGAAAATAAAATAATATATTTCGATCACTCCCCTTAGTATCCCCCTTAGTAAAAGGATTTGTATTTAAATATAATATATAAAAATGGTTGTTTCTTTTCCCTTGTTTCTTCTTTTCCCTTTTTCTCCCCAGGTTATTTATAATTGAATCAGTTTTATTTTAAAAATTAACCTGGTTAAAAAAATACAATCTATAACAATTCTACCTGGTTAAAAAAATACAATCTATAACAATTCTACGTAAAAACTGACTTAGATGTACACATACATCTAAGTCAATTTTGAATAAAAACCGTCTTAGATATGTACATATATGTGACACCCTTACTACCCCAACACATATATCGTAATAATGTAATTAAATTAAGGAAATAAATTTTTTCAACATATTGGTAAAAGGGTTCACATAGAAACCTTCACAAATGATCTTCAATGTCCAACATGAATAAAATTTGGAAAATAAAATATAAGAGTTTACAAATTGTTTTTAAAAATAATAACTACAACTCCAAATTCATATAAAAATTCCATATCCTAGAAATTCTCTGCTTCGATGTCACAATACCAGAGCACACCCATAATTCAATAGTTGAAATTCTAGATGTCACTCAAAGTCAAATCTTCCTCACCTAAAACATCCACAAATTATACGGTAAAAAAAGAAAACATCTATATGTAAAGAACATAAGGAAAAACACAACATAATCTTATCATAATTCATCAATTAATGAAGTTTTTACAAGTATATCATACATTCTGATTCTATCAATCATGCATCATATTCACATCACAATTTCACAATCACACCAATCTATCACAAATCTTGCAATTAACACTATGTCAATGGTCAGCCACCTCAAGGTCGTGCCACTATAGACATAAGTGATACGTATTAATTGTCTCACTCATCCCACACTATCACTACTAGAAAGATTGTATTCTAAGTCGATTATTTTGCCATATCTACATCGGTTTTAAAACTGACTTAGATAAGGGCGACTTAGATGTATAAATACATCTAAGTCGGTTTTCACAAAACTGTCTTAGATGTGCACATACATCTAAGTCGGTTTTTATCAAAACTGACTTAGATGTATATGTGCACATCTAAGACGTTTTTTATTCAAAACCGACTTAGATGTATATGTGCACATTTAAGACGGTTTTTATTCAAAACTGACTTAGATGTGCACATATACATGATTTTTTCGTAGAATTGCTATAGATTATATTTTTTTTAACCAGGTTAATTTTTAAAACACCAATTTCCACCACAATAAACACCATCATAACGGATGATCCAAGCTACTCAGTTTGAAGAACAAAACAAGGCATGATTAATTTAGTTTGTTTCACATAATTCTGAAAAC